ATTATATTTAAAGCATGGATATACTTCTGCTCATCCACAGTAGTCACTTAGAAGGCAGCCCCACACTCTACATCCAGAGGTGAGCCAGTAGAACTGCCATGGCTTGTAAATGAATCTTTAAGAACCCATGGGGAGACTATGACTTGGAGATGCAGTCTGACAAGGCACAGCTGTTGAACAAGCAGCATATGCCAATCAGCATCCCTGAGTCTCCAAGAATGCTTGAATAATTTCCAACGCAATGCTGGACTTCATTTCATGTTGGTAGAAAGCAATAAACTGGTTTAGTCTTTTCAAAACCATGACAACACCCATTGGCTAAGAAATGGATGCGAGTCTTTATTCATTTCTGGGGAGTAATATCACCTTTATTTTAGAGGACATTATAGTCTATTAGTCAATGATAGCCAATCTCCAGGAAACAGAACAAGTGATTTTAGGGGCAGATGGGGATGTTTGAGGAGTTTCTCAAGTTACCACATGTAACAGATCTTACCCAACAATCTAAAGAAATAAGGTTCCACTGCTGTTGAAAAAGCAGTAGGTGGCCTCACTGAAACTAAGATTCTGTGTAGCAGAGACTGGAACCCTTGCTTCTGCAGCTAGCCATTTTGGTCTGTAAAACCCCTTTTTTGTTAGTCATTTTACAAACAAAAACTTTGGCCAGACTCCCTTGTACTGGTCAGTTTACCCCTTCTTTCTTGGTGCAGTTGTGCTCCAAAATCTGTTTTTTCATGTTTGAAACAAGTTGGGTTTCTAGCTCTCATGGTTGTGAAAATTACGCTTGATAATTGTTTTCAAAGTTAACTGAACATAAGGCTAGACAGCATGAAAGAATAAGAGGCCTGAATGGCTCTTTTCTCTAATAAGTAACTTATGAAACCTTTAAAAAAATCACAATTTAAATAGCCTTATTTCACAGATGATCTAAGCACACCATGTTATGTTTAATCGCACAATCCTCAAGTGCCTGGGTTGCCACAGCAGCAGTGTATCTTCATCTTGGACTTCCTCATGGAGTTGTAAAAACCAAGTTATGGTGAAGGTTCAACAAGGCCTCTGGAAAGGAGTAAAGAGTGTCTTATATTCGCTCTTTCCTCTCCCCAAGTACCAGTAGAAGCTTTGATATCTAGGTACAAAATTGTGACCTAAAAGAGACAGTGGGAAAAGGTAAGCTTGAAGTTTTTCCCAAGACAGTTATAGCAACATTTGCATTTATACCTGATTTTAAGTATTTATAGGTGTTAAGGAAAATAATTAGTAATGGCACTGCCATGACTCAAAACGATTATAATGCATTTGTTTATCACATGGAGCCCTTTGATGGTAGTTTATAAAATTCTTCCAGTGACCTTTTATTGAGTTATTTAGGGACACAATATGAGGTGTAAGAACCTCCAGCTTAACTAATTTTAATACTCAAAAGCCCAGCAGATGGAGCAGTATGTCATTAATATAAACTCCCAGAAACTTTGAGTCATATTGGAGAAAGGAATACATCATTGCAAAAAAAAAAAAAAAGGGGCAAATAATGAGTATATACTGTAGGAGCTTTTCAATTGGCCATTTTCACTTTTTGGTAAGAATGGTTACTTCACCTTAAAGGATGAGTAGCTTCCAAAGTGACATGGCCGAGTAGGATTTTCAGGACTGTTGGCAGTTAGGTAAACAGTGGAGCCTAAAAATCCCAACCTTGAGATGTTTTGTACAGAGAATCATTTTGGCTGAAGCTGATTTATATAAAATTTTGCACTCACTGCCTTTATCAGAAGACTTGATCAGCATTCACAACTCACTGAAGTCATAGTAGTTCAGAAGTTTTGAAAATAGCGCCCAAACTAGTTGCCTAAAACACAAAGTCAGTGGGTACAAATAGAACAAGTTCTCCTGAATCCAAAATCCACTCTATCACCTATAAAGACTGTCTTAATGCAGGAGCATATGCAAGCTTTCAGCCTGCTTGGGATTTTGACAACCTCAAACACACTGTAAGCATGCACCACCAAAAAACTTTTGTGGCAATCATAATTATAACATAAAAAGATAAACCTTCAAACCAGAATAGTGTATATTGAAAGTGAAAACATTCAGCAGAGCGCTGAACCCTCCGCTGTCAATACCATCTTTTTAGACTTAACGAAAGGAATCTTGTTTTTTTGGCATACTCTTTGCTTGTGTATTAGCAGTAAAGAATTTGTACTTTAGGAGTTATCTAACTGGCTGTAGATTGTGACTCATTCCATTCTGGTGCTAAGTAAATGTATTACATATATATCACTTGAAACACTAGTCTTAGTTCATTTTTCTTTATGTATAGTAAAGATGCAATCAAAGCGGGAGGGGGGGGAAGGGGGGGGCTGAAGCTCCCTTAAGAAAGTTCTCAGATAACCTTATGATCACAACAAAAGATCTTCATTTGTGCCCCAATCTCCACCATGGTCTCCCTTAGCTGTCTTTCACTGTATTGGACATACTTGCAGATAAAGTTTCTTTTGAACCACTTACCACATCCAATGGATCTATGGAATCAAGTCTTTCAGCTATCTGTGGTCTTAAGAAATGGTGATTTCTTCAGTACCAGGTTGGATCCACTGTGATTAATAATTTCCAATGTTGGCAATTGAGTAGGAATACCAGAGAACATGAAGAGATTTCTAGCTTTAGATGTTCTAACATTAAAATGGGGAGATAGTATCTGAATTAAGACTTTCCTCATTACATAAAGACTAGAACATTTTTAAACATGTTTCTAATCACCAGAAAAGTTAGAGGATCATATTTTAACCTACCACTCTAGGTTTTTCAATTTCCCTTGTTTCCTGACAAGCTTTTAAAGACTAAAAGCCTAAGTTATTCACTTGTTTTTTTGCTTCTCATATTCAAAATAACTGACATCAAACCCCCTTTGATCATTATACAGATTTATAGGATTTGGGACATCTGACTAGTATTTGTTTAGAGCCTAATCTAAAACCCACTGAAAGGTGAATGCCCTTTATAGATTTATGCCTATCATGCAAGTTATTGTACAGTTTAACACAAACTGCGTTGTCAATTTCTTCCTTCAAGATGTCATAACACTGACAAAGCTCTGACCCATACTGATTTGATATTTTCTGTTATGCCATGATGACATAGTGGATTAATTGGTAGTTGTATTAGAGAAAAGTAATTTAGAATATTTAAGTCTTACACTAATTTTTCCCTATTCAATTTAAGCCAGTGAATTGTAAATTAGCTTCAGAACATAGGAGCTACTTCCATTATTATATGCACCATCCTTGACTTAAATCTTAGAGCTGGCTGGGAAACTCAATTTCACTTCTGCAAAAAGTTGAGATTCTGGAAAAAAGCTTCATCCCGATAGACAAAAGCCTAACTCTCAAAAGTTCTATGGCGAGAAGTGAAATTCTGCAATATTTAGTCTTAGAAACACCACAGAAATGTTCCTGCTATGAGAATGTTTCAGTATTTCCAGAACAAAAGATATGCTCCCTGGCTCTCATGGAGAAGTTGCCAAGGAGCTAGGCAGGTAAACTGGCAGCAAACGAGGCAGGTTTCCATCCTAAGTTTAGTTGAAATTGACATGTTCCCATGGAAATGCACTGTAAAGTCACACTTTGAACACAGTTCAGGCAGTACTGTCTGGCACATCCCATGAGTGGGAATCACTGAACACCTGAACTTCTCAGTTTCAACTAACTGGCACTGACCAACAAAAAAATGTCAGAAAACTTCTGATTGACTAAAATATACAGCCAATCTTGATTCTGCATAATGCTTCCTCACTCTAACATACCGAATCCAGCTTCAATTTGTAGGTGCCTTTGCACATGAATAACTCAGGTAGATTGAGGACCAAGGCATTTTTTCTTCCTGTGGCAGTAAGAGTGACCTCACTATCTCAACTGGACACTACTCTTCTCTTCCTAATCAGGTTACTTCATAGCCTTCTGGCTTGATTTTCTGCTCAAGTTAGATGGCACTGCTCTTACAGCAATCAAGAGTTTGCTGAACCTCATACAATGAATAGATTATGCATCCTTCTACATTTAACAAACTAATCTGACCTGCATAACACAAGCTAGAAACTTCACCCATGAATTCCTGCAACAAGCCCATAGCTTGTTTGAAGAGGAGTACATTGTACCTGGGAGAGGAGGTAGTAAATATATCAAATGGACACTCAAGCAATAAAGACATCTGAGCAACATCTGTTTCACATTTCACGAACGTTATGTGAGCACACTGTCGTACCTCTCAATCTTAAATTGCAATGCTCAGCAAACATTGTATTTTAAAAAATTCACCTGATCCCAAAAAAACTGATATAGATACACCCTGTAGAAATGGGAAAGAGCTACAAAAATCCCATTACTGAACTAGTAATAGGTCCATGCTTAGTCACCAATGACCTTTTCTTAAATATGCTTTCTGGAATATTAGGCAAACTAGACAGAAGTGCAATTGTGATTTCAAATACTATTTTAAAACCAGAACAAACCATGTACCAAACTACATATTCAAATATTTTATAAAAGTTAAGGTTTAACATTTATTTTACATCTAGCTTTCCATATCCATGTGGAGACAAGGAATTAGAATGCACATAAACTATAAGCAGTGCAAAAAGTGGTGCCAGAGAGAAATCACAGATGCACAAACTGATAGCACAGGACTAGGAAAAAAATGAAGCTATGAACAGTAAGAATGGAGACAAAAAATAAGAAAATCCATGGAAGAAGATGGCAGGAAAGAAAAGAGCAGGATGATTAATAATGCCCTTGTTGCTGCAGAGGAAATAAACTAATGGCACAAGACAGTGTTTCTTGTCAAATAAAAAAATCCAATAGCAATGACTCTTTATTCATTCACGTTTAGTCACCTGAAATAAATGTCTGTTGTATTAAAATATTCATTAATGTAAATGGCAGCATGGTAGAACAAGTCTTTCAATGGATAACAAACATCCCACATAGTAAAGTCACTTCAACACAGCCTCATGACAACTCCCACATCAAAACAGTACTTTATTTTGCATTTTTTGCCCCGTTATTACTCCCACAATAAGATCTTTCAGCTATCACATGTACAAGGTGAAGAAAAGCTTCTGTTAGCAAACAGGGTGCATCTGGAAATGCCTCCACAATACACCACTTCAGATCTGCTGGGTTCCAAGTCCATCCCTGAACTCTGGGCTCCCAGTACCAAGTATAGCACACTAAGGCTACACTACTAGGTTAGCTTATTAATTCTGCATACATCAGGCTGATCAATGTGTCAGCCTGCAACAGACCAAGTATTATAACTGAAAATGGCAAAAAAGAGATTCACTCTATTGAACTTTACATCATTATCTGATGTCAAACAATGAGGCAAATCCCAATGGTATATACAAAAACCAGCTTTGCTTTTACAAAAGATTGTTTCCCATATTGATTAATCCAGGCAGCTAACTCATTGGTTTATGCAACTTTATTGAAGAAAATAAATCAGTTACTAACAGAGCTATTAGTTGATCACTCATCCATTGACAACTTGCTTCATTTATTCAGTGCTATATTAAACAGTGTTCTGGAAGATAGATTAACTAATAGCTCCAAGCCTCCTAACAAAATTTAAATGAATTACAAAAATGTTCTGAGACCCTATTTTGGAATACAAGGGATGTTTGACTTCCAAATTTTCATTCTCTGTAAAACAAGAACTGGTCATTCTTTTATTGACATGCATAAGATACATCACATTTTCTGTTCTGATACTATAGATTCTGTACCAATTCTTCAGCCATGTCAGTTATGAGCATAAGCATATAATAAAACCTCAAATCTCTAACACTGGAAGGTTTAAAACAGGATGGATGTTGCTACTGCAATGTTACTTCCTTTGATGTAAGAAAACTGAACATCCACCTCCCCTCCCCTCAGGTGATATCTTCAGTATCTGTTAGAGCAGTGAGGAATGGTTTTAGTCTCATAACCAAGTTAGAATGAAGACATTGGCCACATAATACACATGCTCCTTTTAAAAAAATTTCTGAATGTTGGGCAATTGTTCTTGTGTAACTACTTTATGGATTCTAAAAGCAGTTATTGTCCAAAGCTGGAAAAACTAAAGTCTTCTCAGATGAGCATGTGCATGAATGGAAGGAGGTAAACAAAAAATAAAAAAGATGAGGTCTGATAGGGGAGCAGCCGGATAAGAAAATCAAAAAAGGAACAGTAATTTAAAGTTTATTCCAGCTATAATGCAGGTTATTCTGACTTTAAGGTATCATCACATGGCATACTTCTGAGTCCATTCCCGAGATATTCTGTTGTATCTGTTAATAAAGGAGGAAACACATTAAACAGGTCCAGTTAAACCACAAAGTGGTATTTAATATACTATTTTTAGAAGAAAGTTTTCAGTAATTTCTTACTGAAGAAATTCACTGCTGCTTCTTTCAACTGGCTGTTCCAGTTCTTTCTATACTTTCATATGTGGTCTTTTATTGAAGAAAAAGAAGTCTTACTAGAAACTTAGAACAAAAGCCTACATTTTGAGACTATTTGAAACACACTTAGATTGCACAGAAGATAGGTAAGTTGCTAGAAGCATGTTATGAAACTGATTATTGCACCGGGGAGGGGGGGGGAGGGAGGGAGAGAGGAGTAAAAAGGGTTGAAAATTAAAAATTCACTTTTTTGCTAGATATATCAGGTTGTTTGGAGCCTGGTTTTAGAACCAAGTCTAAAGAATACTGCATGCTATGATTAGAGATGATATACTGAACCCTACAGTCAATTATGTTATTGGTGGATTTTCAGTTATGTCCTGACAATTTCAGTTGGAGAATAATGCAAGACCCCATTTTTCACACTAGCATACTGCCCAGGCACAGAAGTTTTGACTGAAAAATAATGATAATGAATTCCAGCCAGCGTTTGCTTTTAGAAAGGGATATTAAAATAGGCCATGAACTTTTTGTACAACACACTAGTCTACAGGAATTGGGCAGATACAATTAGTTTACTTAACAGCATGCTTGTCAGTATTAAGTTAATTTCCAACTATACAAGCATAAAGAAAAAAAACCCCAAAACAGTACTTTTTTTAGCATATTAAATTTTGCCTGTGCACACAGTCTGAATCTGGACCACCTAGATTTTTATTTACAACATGGTGGTTTGACTACACAGACCAGTTCCCTCCTCCCCACTCTCTACAAAATTTGGTTCAGTACTTACCAGGACAGAGGTATAAGACATCTCAGAACCTCAACAATTCAAATAAAATCAGTTTCTTACTACCACTATATTTGTTTTGCCATGCAAGAATATTATCTGTTTGTGAGATATAGTAATTGGCCAATACATTTCACACTAATCACAGATCAAGCTGTTAAATATTCAGGTTCAGTAACTGATAAATCCATTATCTTTGTTAGTTAATCCGGTGCCTTAAAGCATGCAGCACTCAAGTGCTGACAGTTCCCATTTTGTTAAATGCACCGTCAAGTGCAAATATTCTTACCCTACAGCATAGCGTATTTCTCTGTCCACTCTCTTGCTAACCTATTGTACCTAATTGGACAAGTATATTTAATATTACTATACAAACTTCAACAGCTATTTCACTGAGTTCTATCTGAGTACAACTGTAAAAACCACGTTTGAGACAAAACAGTTTCTACACAGATAGAAGATCATAAAGCCTTTATCCAATGGGAAACTCCAAAACAGAAAAAGTAGGCAGTTATCAAAAGGCGACACTGGAGTATTTACAAGGGTAATTTCTCTCCTCAAACTTTAGAGGCTTTATATGAACTGATACTATTTCAGACTCTCACAGGAGACTGATTAAAAGTAGACCAATAATTTTAGATAAACTTTCAAATAGAAATCACTACAACATTAGTGAAACACCTCCATGCAACTTCAAAGATAGCACACGTTTCTTCGTATTTGCATGTTTCCAAAGCCAAAAAATACCAGTTACTTCTTCCTAAGCAACAAATTCAGTCTAAGATGGAGAGATCACAAGTAACTAACTCATTCATTCCCCACCTTTGTTTTCTAACACAAGAAGAGTGTGTTTCACAGTATATTAGTAAATTATCTTTATATAATTCTGTACTTACTTGTCTCTGTCTGTTTTATAGATACGTGCAATCTCTGGCACTAGGGGGTCATCTGGATTTGGATCACATAACAGTGAACAAATGGATAAGAGAACTGCAAAATAACAGAAAAGATTGCTCAACAGTGAAATCCAAACAAAGATCTCAACTAAATACAAAGGAAATACAGTTATTTGCTTTGTTAGGACAACCTCAGTATGCTATAAAGAAAAGATTTGTTAGTCGTCTGTTTACGATGCATGCTGAGTAAGTTTAAAGGTAAATTTGGTAGCCCATTTCTAAATGTGTGGCTCACAATCATTAAAATATATTTATAGGGTGTCCCTCTATAGCACACTCTAGCAGCTCCCAGTGTCCCACAAATATACATAGAGAAAGGTAATGCTGTCCAAACTATAACGTAACAGAGTGGCAATCTACTGAGCCATGTTATATAGCTGATCAGCTCTTTCACAGCTAGAAGTCTGTGATAAACAGATTAGAATCAGATGGGATTTCTTTTCTGCAATAGTATTAATACATTAGTATTCTAGGCTGATCAAACTAGATACATACTGATAAGATAAAAGGAAATACTAAAGTAAGACTACCATGGAGAAATACTGTTTGAAGCAACTTATTCTTTACATTCTTCATTTCCCATCAGTGGTTTTTAAAAAACAGTGTAAAATTCAGAACAAGCAAGCTAGGGGTATAGTGTCAACACAACATGCTATCATGTGGCGGATCCAAATTCAGACCCAAGCTTGGTTCTTGTGCCTTGAATAGGCAGGAATCACTAGTTCTGTAGGTAAAGGAACCCTTTGCTTATTCTGACTAGTGCAACTGTGATCTCAGGGGGATCTACCAAACCAAAAAAGGGAAGTGAGCTCTGGTGAGCTTTGCTTGAAGTCAATTAGTTTCAAGAGTTGAATTCATTAGAATTAATGAGAATACTCACATTTACAGGAAGTGGAAGTGAAAAAACCTTAAAGCAGTACTCACTGATCACAAATCTAAAACATGGTTACTAAAAATTCATATATGGAAATTAATACTCCATGCTAGCAGCTAGCAATTAACTGTAAAGCATTAGACTGATCACAATCTAAAATTAGGAGTTTTCTATGTGCACAGATGGACCAACTTAAGTTACAATTTTAGACCAACCTACTTAAATGAATGCAAAAGGTTGTGTAGACACTTATTTTGGTTTAAAACCAGGTTTATTTCAGATTAACTTCATTTAGGAATAGGTTAAAACTGAAATAAGCCACTCTCATGTAAGTGTCCATATAGGGATTCAACTGCACTGGTTCATGCTGGGGAGAACCTTTAGTAATAGCTAAAGTAAAACTGCACAAAGGTTTTTTTGTTTTTTTTTTTAAATAAAAGGTGAAATCAATAAGCATGCAACAATGTAATCATTGGTTTCAGAGGAACAGCCGTGTTAGTCTGTATTCGCAAAAAGAAAAGGAGTACTTGTGGCACCTTAGAGACTAACCAATTTATTTGAGCATGAGCTTTCGTGAGCTACAGCTCACTTCACGAAAGCTCATGCTCAAATAAAATAATGTAATCATTGCCACGTACGCAAGATGTCCTTCTCAGGCTACAGTATAATGGGAAATGAATGGAATGCCAAACAAAACTAAGCAAAAATATTACAGTGTCAAAATGAAGATAGAAATTGTAATGTTTTCTTCACCTTTAGAAATAGTTAAAGCAGGAGACCACTGTGATCTTAGAATATCGAGACAAATGCTGCCATTACTGTTAATATTTGGATGATAGATTCTTGTTGTAAATGCAACCTATAACAAAAAATAGAGAAGTATTTGTGTTTCACATATGCTAAATTGCATAATTAAGAGTTACACATAAGCACAGATAAGGTGCACCAGAAAGACTTACTGAAACATGTATTGTGGCTCTCTAGCCACCAAGCATTTGAATCAGATATTCAGCACTTACATGCTACTTTTTTCAATCACTGTACAAACATGAGTTATCAACACTTTATATAGATAAGTATCATCTCCACTTGTCTGGTAGTGAAGTTAAATGATTTGTTCAAGACAAAAAAGCTAAAGTGAAGCAGGGCTGCTTTTAGAACTCAGATGTTCCCGATTTCCATTCCTATGCTTGGCTCATTAAAGAGCATTAGTCTCACAAAGAAAAGACTACTTGCCTTAGGTGGTTTGAAAGGGTAGTCTGTAGGAAAGTGAATTGTCAAGAAGAATACGCCGCCTTGATATGGACTGTCATTCTGTCGAAGAAACATGTCCACTGTAATTATACTCCCGAATTAACTTTTGTGAGAAGATCCACTACTTACTTAGCAAGGCAAATCATTCACTTAAACACAAATAAGATGTTTAATCCACAATGTAAGCACTGAATTTTGATCATACCTGGGCTTAAAATTGGTGGAATGAGATAACTGACTGCAGTAAGTCAAGTTGGTCACTGGCAATGAATTTCCTCCTAAAACAATTGTGTTCTGTAAAGCCTTAGTTTAAAGCAGGGGTTCTCAAACTGGGGGTCGGGACCGCTCAGGGGTCACAAGGTTATTACATGGGGGGGTCACGAGCTGTCAACTTCTACCCCAAACCCTGATTTGCCTCCAGCATTTATAATGGTGTTATATATTTAACATGTTTTTAATTTATAAGGGGGGCGGGGAGGAGGTTCGCACTCAGAGACTTGCTATGTGAAAGGGGTCACCAGGAAAAAAAATTGAGAGCCACTGGTTTAAAGCAAGTGTGTCACATGCAGGCCAGAACTGGCCCTGACAGCTTCTTCCCTCTGCAATTTCAAATGTATCCAAACTGCAGCAGCTCAGAGAGTCAGAAGAAAGCTGGAGTGAGAGGAGCTTAGGTGGGAGTAAGTGCCTGATTAGCCACAAGTAACTGAGCCCTACTCCCCCTGCCCTTGTAGTAGTTTATAAGCCAGTTGCTGTCCTTCCCAGCCTTCTGCACATTCTGTTCCTGCCATCATCACTGCTTAGCCTTCCAGTCCTTTTTCTCACCACGTGTCTTGATCCCTGCCTCTGGGTTGCACATAACCATGTTCCTGGAAAATGTATTTTCTTCCCCTGCTCAGGGAAAAAGCAATCATAATGATAACCTCAAGGGGGGAAATTCTCAGGTTCAAGTGGTGGTGGAATTACTGCCCAAAGTAGGGCAACAGAGAATACTCTCAAAAGGTGGAGATTGAAGCAGTGACTTGAAGGCCCCCCCCCCCCCCCCCCCCCACGGGAAGCAGTACATACAAAAAAAGAGGAAATTTTAGAAAAAGTAAAAGCTTTTATTAAAAAGTCTTTTTAAGTGCAATATTTAACTTTGCTGGCTAAAGAAGCACATTCCACGATAAGAACTACAAAATTTGCCTACTGCCTTTTTAAACCTCACACACACACACAGGATTGAGCAAAAAAGTGTAATTTGATTCGTCACAATGGGTTTCACATATCTGGTATACAGGAATACTGGAAGTTGGCTTTATTCGGTTTATCTATTTTTTAAATATTATATCCTTTAAGACCAATCTCTTGTTTATATACAGACTAGCCACATCCTATTTCTTAAGCTTATATATACTTTAATATCTGCAAGTGAAGCAGTGTGGCAAAAAGCCAATAGATAAGTCAAGGGGCAAAAATGTAATGCTAGAGTTGATACTTCAATGAGACAGCCTGGGCAGAGATTCAGCGTATCATGTAGTATTCACTGAAAAACTGCTATATTGGCAAATGAGAAGTTCAAAAACTACTTCAACCCTTTTATTGTATACATGCTGGAGGCAAGTCTTAGTGGTTATTAAAATGAAGCAACAGAACTGGTTAGAACAAGTGTAGAAAATACCTCTCTGACAATGAGAACTCAATCCTTACTATTAGACTGTGTCAGTAGTGGATCTCAGATGTGGAATATGTTAAGCCATCTACACTACCAATGCCTAGGCTGTCATGAAGGTATGAGGCCTACAACACCAGCAGACCACTAAGCTATTATCCTAAAGCAAGGATAATTCTATCTAAAATACTGCTCTAAAGTATGCACTCATGCTATTCCAAAGGGCATAACTAATAAATGCCTTTAAACTGATAGCACAAAGATTAAGTGGGAAAAGAGGATAAACAACTCTGAATGAGCAGGGAGAGGTAGAACAAAAGAAAATATTTCTGTATTTGAAGTCCAACTATACTTTTAGTGTTCTGTGACCATGCAGAGTCAATCATATAAGTATTACTCAATGACATACAATGGAGATCTTTCCATACTTTTGGAAGTTTACTTCAAGTATTAGTATAGCTATTAAGCAAACATTCTGGTCTTTCTGGAGTGCATACTTCGTTGCATTCAAAGGGATAAGCTAGAAGAACAAATCCAGCATTTGAACTCTGAACTGAAGACAAAAGGATTCTTTAGTATGCCACCCAAAAGAAGCTCTCCACTAACTGGTATCAAGAGAATACCTAAACCACATTGGATACATGTGTAAGGTCAAAGTAGTACATTAACACTGACAATTAAATTCTACTCTAACATGACTAAGGCCTAGTCTACACTTCATTTAGGTCAATATAGCTATGGCACTCAGGGATGTGACAAATCCACACCCTTGAGTCCAATAGCTATGCCAACCTAACCCCTGCTGTAGACCCAGCTAGGCTGATGGAAGAATGCTTCCATGGACCTAGCTGCTGTCACTCAGGTAAGCGGAGTGCCTACAGTGACAGAAAAACCCTTTCTACCGTTGTAGTCTGCATCTATAACCCAAGGTTACAGCAGCATAACTATGGCACCTCAGCTATGCCACTGCAGAAGCAGGAATTTAGAGATGGCCTAAAAGTGTCACTGAAGGGGTTCCTTGTTTATTGGCACTTGACTCTTAAAATTTAAAAATCTGAGCAAACTTTGAATCAAATCAACTGCCAGCCTTGAGACAGCCTGGAATCTGAAAGTGTCCTAGTACCTTCTCATACCCCATTAATATGTGACACTGCAGGTGAAACAAGCCTTCAGTTACATACATGCAACCCCATTAGCTTTCAGTGTGGTTGTACAGGTGTAACCAAGACCTGATTTTGGCGTGCAGAATCTTATTGCTCATTATGCATAACAGAGAGAATGTAATCCAATGTTCAGATTCCAGGCTGAGTATGCACAGCTGGGAATTATATCACTCCACCTGTAAACTGAGCAAGTTTGGAGTTGTTCTAGATATAGAACCTTAATCATGTTAAGAATCTCTTTTTAGAGTAGAAATGCACATTAATATAATTGTCTTCATTATAAAAAAAGCTGCTTCCAGATCCCAAATACAAACCATACACCAGTGTACTAGTTTTACTGAAGGAAGAACTTTGTTAGAAGGCATCTAGCCACAGCTCCCTGGAAGACTACTTAGGGTATTTTTTTTTTTAATAGCTTTAATCCAAATATGCATGTTTTTGAAAAGCTTGATAAAGTTATGTTTGGCCATTTGATATGCTTTAGTATTTCAGTGTTGTTTCCTAGAAGCTTCAACTACTTGGTTAATTGAAGTACTAAGAAGTCTAACTTGTAATGCACTTAATCCTCAATAAGGGCAAGGGGCTTTAGACCTTGTTCCTAGTCAAGTTATACAATCACATTAAAAAAATTCATAGTAAGCATGCACAGCATATTTTCCTCCTGTATGCACTCAGAACACTTTGCACTTCAGAAAACTTTTCTATTTTTACAGAAATGCTTGAAACCATGGTAAGCTCCACCAGTCCAAACTTTAGTTTTCCTCATCTACACGAAGGGTTTGCACCAGGGCAAACAGCTATATTGACAGCTGAAATTCTGCATGCAGACACGGCCCATGGGGGATCAGAACTACAGAAACCGTTTGGCATACAAACATTCTACATGACAAAACCTTGCACTGCGATGCAGGACATTTTCATTCAGGTACATGTCATGTTACAGAAGTGACACACCAACAACGAGGAATCTACATAACTAAACTCACTTTTCCCCTCTCTGTTCTCAAACTGGCATTTTTGGGAGTGTCTAAATTAAAAGAGACTGGAGAAATCTGAGGACAGTTCTTGCTGAATAAGAATTATGATTTCAAGTTAGCATTAACATTCATGGGAGTCAGAATACTTACAGGTCCCATAATTGTGGCTTGCCAATGGAACACTAAAAAGGAAAAAGTCAGTATTATTACTTAGGTACTATACTCTTTTTGAATTAAAATCAGAACAAAACATTAAAATTTAATACTACTTACTATCATCTCCAACTGGACCTGCAGAACACTGTGCTGGAGGGTCTCGGGCTAAGTCACTAAGTTCCTAAATACAAAACATTGTGTTCAGAGAGAGTGAGTGAAGTGTCATTGCCACTGTCCAATTGGATGTACAGAAAATCCTTAAATTGTTTTTCCTGGATAGAGAGAGAGAATGACTTGGCAAACCTATCAACAGGAGCAGTTGTGGTTGGTATTAGGAATGTCGTCACTGAAGAGTAACAAGACCTGCTAGCCCTGGCAATTTAAATAAGTTAGTAAATTGAGTGCTGATACTTAGAAAGTCAACAACAGAATTACCACTTGTAGCTTTTAGATACCCCAATGCAGGAAAAAAAATAGCATGGAGAATTAAATGAAGCCCAACAAATTTTTAAGATTTCCTTCCTTAAAAACACTTAACACCATAAGGGGCAAAGAACAGATAAAATGTCTTCACACTGTGCAAAAAAAACCACTGAATTTTATCATTTCTATTCTGGACAAACAGAAGCACAGCCGTTTCATTTCCTCTTCACCATGATGTAAAATAGATCCTACATATGGTCGTGATTTTATATATATAAAAGAGAGAGAGAGAGACCAACACCCACCAACAGATCAGTCTTTTCAGTTCACCTTTTAGAGGACAAAGGTTACAAAAGCAATACAACATGCTTTAAAAAAAAAATGCAATTAACACTAACAATTTCACTGCAGTATGTTTTTAAAATCCTGAGAAATCTGAACAGCAGACATGGTTTCTCAAGTGGCGTCACAAAAGGGAATGAAAATAGGGATTAGAAAAAGATTTTAGTCTATTTATAGCAGCTGTGAAATCAAAACAGTAAAACCGGAAGTCTCAATCTCAGATTTCTCAGCTAAAATAGCAATTTTCTTGAATTTCACTGAACAGTGTCAACTGCCATTTATGTAGTCAAAAAGTCAGTTTACTTACTCTTAGTATACTAAAAGATTGCGGAGGGATTTTAAAAAAAATTCTTCACCGCTAACCTCTAAGACATCAAGAAGTCATGAGTGCAAGGAAAGCAAACTAGCCACCTCTTTCTATAACGCATTAGTGTTAGAAATCACATGTATTTCACTACAAGTTACTAAAACCAAGCACTTTGCTATATGTCAAAGGTTTAAGAAACTTAGACTTGAGTACTGTGATGCACAGACATATGCAAATTTTGACGAGGCAGCTTAACAGCTTTTATAGCTGAAGTAGCTTTCACATTCATCTTAGTCTGTGGTGAGCTTACAAACACTTGGAATAAAAATATTTTTGACCAATTATGGTTTTAGCAAACTCACCACCTGCTAATACTTTAACAGCAAAGAGAAAAAATGCAGGCCAATATGGCATTAAAATTTTTTCAGGATTTCAATTTTCCTGTACCTTCAAACAAGTGTATCACTCTATGTAGGATAGCAGTTATTGGAAGGCACACAAAAAAAGTTAACCTATTTTTCTGTACTGCCTCACCTCTCAAAGTTTCTTCAAAATACTCTTATAAGCAGTAATTTTTTTCTGCTCCATTATGAAGTCCTGACAACATAAACCAGTTCACTTTGTACTATTTCCTTCAACACGGCAGAAAACTGTCTAGCAAAACAGATACAGTGTAGGTGAGGTAAGCCTTTTACTGGACCAACTTCTGTGGGGGGAGACAAAAGCTTTTGAGCCTCCACAGAGCTCTTCAGGTCTGGGAAAAGAAAAGCTCCATGGAAGCTCAAAAGTTTCTCTCTCTCTCTCACCAATAGAAGTTGGTCCATTAAAACATTACCTCACCCACCTTGTCGCTAATATCCTGGGAGAGAGACAGCTATATCAACACTGCATATAGCAAAATAGAGGTAATCAAAGTTTATCCCCTTCCCTCCTAAACATTTAATTTAATCTGAGGTGTTAATGTCAAAGCTTAGTTCAGACCATCTATAGAGCTAATGTAAAGTATAGCAATCAACTGCAGTCTAGGCACTTTAACAAAAACAGCACAGGCAAGTTCACTATTTACCACCCCTCCCATTCTTTTACAATAGGTTATCTGACTTCACTCTAAATCAGGACATGTTATACTGGCTAGACTGGAATATTCCGTTATCCTTTATTTATGGTACTTTGCCATTGTAACTAGAAAGGCAAGTGAGGCATCTCTAAGTCAATCTAAGTCAGCCTGTATTTGTTTGCTTTTGCAACAAATCAGACAAATTATGGATCAACAAGGCCTGAATTTTATAGTTGGAGACTTCAAACATTTTGTATTGCAATGTTTCTCCTGCAGTTCAGTTTTGCCAAGCAATGGCAGAGTGAAATTAACAGTATTATGGAATATTTTTCTACTGCTATTCTGACATAGGGGCAGCTATTCTTTCTAAAGAAATCAAGATAAATCCCATGTGAAATGTCTTTAATTACTCAATTTGTGCATTTTCTCTATTAAATGGCAGAGATTCTTCAATTTTAAGAGGTTTTAGGTCTCTGCATCATCTAAAGATACATTTTCTGGTACATCATAATGTTGATAAGATCCTTATGTTGTTACAGGGTTGTTCTGTAAGGACATTCCCAACGGGCTAAGAAGTGGTTTCATTTTAATTCTTGAAATGATACTAAGGAAAGGAGAAGGAACGCCCTAGGTTCAACGTGTAGTCTCAATTCCTCTAAAAAGGCACGTGCGGATGAGAAATGTGATTACATCCATGTACATGAGAACGGTCACTTTTCTCAATGTCTAGCTAAAATCTGTGGAGTTCCACTAGAGAACCCCTCTATATACTAAAAGTGTCATAACAGATGATGCATCTACAGTGAGTAGAAGCAGTCTTATTGTGTTTAAAAACTGAGATACATTTATATTTACACTGTCACTGGGCTATCCATTTGATCTGGGAGAAGCAACGGATCTGTTGATATGTTGTGCTTTTATCAAAAAACTGTCAGCAGCACCTAGAGTTTGCAAAAACACACACAAAAATAAGGGAGATGGTACTGAAGGAGGAAAAAATTGAGGTTCGCACTGCAGCTTTACTAAGGTTGTAAGAGGCAAATCCCATGGACCAGGGAGAGTTTCAAAGGATACTGGAGGTCTTCAGAGCAGTAAGTTCAGACTAAAAAGCAACTGAGACATGAGAGATCTCTTTTAGTGGAAGAGGGATTTTCTAATAAATCTAGTAAAAGAAATGCCAATACTTAAGCTAGGGGTAGAAACACCTGACTACCAGTGAAAGAAATCCCATCTAAAAAAGAATGAAGCCGAGGACAATAGTTCAAAGCAAAGTGTATACGTAGACAGACAGTATGTGTATATATAGTTTAGCTAATATTAACAGTTTGAAAGTTATAACATTTGAGTTTCAGGACTCTTTACTCCTCAAGTCACACTCACCACAAGCATTTACTCCAATATGGAGGCACCCACTTTACCCATTAAGAAAATGGTTTTAGATACTGGTTAAAATGACTGTCAGTGTATAAGTAGCCTCAACAGTCTGAAGGTCTATGGTTTTGGCTGGCCTACTGTGGTGATTAGATAAACCACGTCCTGATTTTAAACAAATTTAATGGGTAAAAATTCCAGTGCAGAAAGCATCATATAGCACATCACATTTCAACTGCTATACTAACATCAAACTTCAAAAGCCTCAAATACAAGATTAGGTTAACACGCCTGGTGCGCGCCTCCATTCCCTCATTTGGAAAGATGCATTTTTCATTCCTCGACTAGCTAGAACTAAATTTCGCAGCAAGGCCAACTGATTTCAGACGTGCTCCAGCAAGAACCTGAGAATTCTGCACAAGAGTCAATGTCAAAAATTTAAGTACATTTTCACATTTAATTACATTTAATATAATCAACCTAGTTGTTAGAACATAGATATTCAGGCCTGCCTGTAAAAGTCTATCCTTTAAGAACTTAGGTGTATTTTTTAATCACTTAGCTAGTTACAGGGGTATAAAAACCAAAGAATCAAAATCACATTCTGCCTGTGCATACATGGGCCATCTCTCACTTTGGCTAAGCAGGAGCAGCCATAAGATGGGAAGCGTAGGGTCACATCCTCACATCCCAAACCAGTCACACTGAAATAAGGTGGTATTGGGCTGTTAGGAATACAATCCTGTCCTGATAATGCCCATCACCACCAGATAAAAAAACAGATCTTAAGATGGTTAAAGAAAACTAGGTTTGATAGCATCCCGTCTGGCAAGAAATCACTTATCAATTATTGTTGTTGCAAACCCTCATTTCTGTATTGTTTTATCGTTATGGCCTCCCATTTCTATTCTTAATCTGTCTAGTTCTCTAATTGTTTCTCTGTTGTATAATTAATTTTGCTAGGTGTAAGTTAATTAGGGTAGTGGGATATAATTGGTTAGAGAATTACATTACAATATGTTAGCATTTATTAGTTAGGTTGAGGTATAGTCGAGAATATTACTATAAAAACTGGGGTCAAACAGGAAGTGGAAGGGAAACAGGAATCGTATTTGTTAAGGGGGGAGAAAGGGGAACAGGGACGCAGGCCAAGGCTCTGCGGCATCAGAGCTGGGAAAGGAACATTAGGGAACAGACTATTGGAGTACAGAGATAAGCCCGACTGGTGTGAAGGTTTTCGGAATATGTTTGTGACATGAAGTGGGAATGTTCTTAATGTTTTTTCTGAATACTGTGTGGGTGCCTCAGTTTCCTCTATGCATTTCTTAATTATCTAGGTGGTGGGATACGGGTGTGTGATTGTCACAGAGCCCGAGAGGGCAGGTGTGATGCCATCTACACAGACACTGGGTGACACCCTGTCTCCCGGCAACTGATGACCTGGGCCACTCCCCTGCAAGGTGTCTACTGAAGGTATTGGAGAACAAAGATCAGGTGGCCTCCTGGCCCGAAAAAGAGAAAAGGCCAGAGGAGGGGTTGGAGGGAGTTTCAGTTTGGAGCTGGCTGGAGAGATGGGGGGAGGGGGGAGGGGCTGGGCTCCCCACCCCCCAAGATGAACCTGACTGAGGGGTCCTGTTTTCTGTACCTACAAGCTCTGTTCCTGTTGTCTAATAAACCTTCT